CGGAGCGGACGTCACGGGGGGCCGCCGCCCTAACAAGCTCCCGGGGGCCTTACTGCCGCCCTTGACACCTGATGATTAGAAATGGAAATCCAAATGGGTTTGAGCAAACAGGTGCGGGACGGCGGCGGCGGCGGCCGGTCCGGGGTAAAGGAATGTCACTTAACAACACACACGCGCGTGACGAAGCGCGATGGAACTGTATTATAGAGAGTGGAGGGCGTGACCGGGACGTGACGACGGGGACGTGACGGGCTGTGACGAACGGGCTCACGGAGTAGTAGACCTTGCTGTCGCCCGATGTCGCCGCCATCAGCCTCGAACGCTCTGCACTTTACACGTACGGTCCGCAGACCAGGGCGTCATGGGAAGTGTGTCTAACGGGAAGCGTGTTAAAGTCTATAGTAGTTGCGTAGTCCTCCTACGTGATCATCCATTTAATCACACGATTATCAGCACGGCCTTTTACAGCCTCTGGTGCTGTCTTTCACCATGGCTCCTTTTGACCCCTTGCCTGCTTGCAGGGCGCTGTAGAACTAAAACAAGTTGTGGTCCGGCGTCCGTGGTCCACCCTGTATTGCCGCCGATTGGCTCCTGTTGGGCCTCCGCCACTGCATGGCCTGCATCCTGTTCTGTATTGCCATAGCCGGTACGCACTAGAGCGGTGAAAGTGACTTGCATGCACACACTCCGCTGCTCTGCGCTGTGGTTCCCGCCTGGCCTGGCCGCCTGGTCCCCCACGGTCCCTACCACCACCTGGAGGAATGTGTGATGCAGGCCATTCAATGCCGCGCGCGACACTCTCCTCATGCCGGTGAAGTGAGTGAGCGGGGAGGGAGAGAGAGAGAGAGAGAGAGACAGCAGCGCGATGAAAATGAGCTTGCCTCAAAGACCGTGTGAGGCAACCAGCACTCCAAGCACGTGAATTTCATAGAAAGAAGTAAAGTGTTGCTCAATGATGAGGTTGAGGCAGGCCGGGGCCCAGAGAGAGAGAGAGGGGGGGGCGTAACCACCTCACAAGGCTGCTGCCGATCTGTCGCCGCGTACGCATGCATTATACCGCGGGGCGGGGGGCGTGGTGGGTGCGACACAGCACAGCGCCACCCACGCGGCGCGCGCCTCAGTGGGGGGGG